TGTTCCCTAACGTTGGATAGATCAGTAGACAGCTTCGCTCCGGGTTGCACTGTTTTCGTTGCGTTCACCATCCTCGCGGAATAAAGTACCGGATCGCTGCGAGGATGTTACCCCCGGACGACCGTCGGTTTCTCGTGCGAGTTTCACGTAGTTGTTGCTATGATCCTTTGTGTCGGCGTGCTCTCGAGTGTCTCGGTTTCCTCGCACCGATACGTGACTCTTATCGTGTAACAGTTTTTCTCTGGTTCACTTTATTTTCCGAGTTCTCTTTTCGCTCGCGAGAGACACGCGATCTCGTAGGATGACGCCTCGGAGCATGTTTCCGGGCTCGCTACAGTAACGTGTTCCTTCGTAGGCTGTGCTGGAGAGGTCGAAGTCGGATCGGGTGACGCGAACGGATGAAGACAGACGTCGCCGCACCATTATCGTCGAGAAGAAGAATGGCACGTACGGTTTCACGTTACAGGTAACGCACCCGTCCACGTGTTCTATGGTATTTGCAGACACGCGGTTTTCCCTTTAAGCCTGGAAAATATCCTTCCGCCGCGAACGTTCGAGGCGGATACGGATTATCGTGCGCTAGTGATCTCTTCACTTCGCGTGGCTTGTAGCTTCAAACGATCATTTGGATAACGGTAACGGTTGATTGCGCAGAGCTACGGCATCCACTACAAGCGGGAGCAGGAAATCGAGATGGTCACCTATGTGGACTACGTCGAGTACGACGGGCCGGCGTTTAAAGCCGGCATGCGGGAGGGCGACGTGATACTCTCTATAAACGGCCACGAGATGGACAGAGCCGACCATAAGACGTTGGTTAACTTCATAAAGAACTGTGATACTAGGATGCGAATGGTGGTGTCCTTCGAAGACTGCGTGAGAAAGGTGAGCACAGAGGAAGACTTTCAGCGAAACGCTTACCTGATCGCAAACTCGATGATCTCTCGCGATCCCTCCAGGTGGAACTGCATATGCGTTACATCGAGTTACAACGCGCACTCCAATCCCGGCTCGGCGAGCTGGAGAGGCTGTGCGAAAGGGAACGGTCCATTTTGATGGGCCGATGGAAAACCCATTCACTGCCAGCACGCAAGAGGACGCCTAACAGTATGATGGCCAGCAACCCCAACCAGCCATCGCCGTCGTCCAGCTTCAACTCCTCGACGATTCAGTGCTGTCGACCGGCTACATCTACGGAACACCTATTACTCTACAACGTGGTACTTCTTTTAGTTTCTATTCGACACAGTTTTCAAAGTTTCACGATACAATTTCAAAGAGAGAATATGAAATTTGAGAAGTTGCAGTAGCAGTCTTCAGGGAAACCCTTTGCACTCGAAAATTGTCTCGCGATAATTACGTTAAACGAGCTTTAACATTATACATGAAACTTTGCAATTGCTCTATCAAACCAAATGAGTCGCCTCTCGAGTGCGAAGGGTTAAACTGTCGCTACATGAAAGTCAAGCTTGAAACCTCCATGTTACACCTCGCGTTCGTTTCATTGTATCGTGTGCACAGTGCTGGAAAGAGAATAGTATCAATATTTTTCTAGTTCTCCGACGGTCGGCCATGTTTAGTACCACGGAATGCCGCTTGCCTGGTAGCAGTGGGACCGCCACGGTCCCGCAGCGACCATCACCATTTCCTCTCGAAGATGTCGAGCGACTCAGGAGTAGCGACCTCGTCGCGCCACAGCTACCACCAAGCGAACGGCATGAGCAGCACCCCGGCGAAATCCAAGTCGCACAAGTCCTGCCAACAGCAGCAGCAGCAGTCGAGCTCCACCGGGGAGCCCCCTCTCCACGCGCCGCCACAGAACAACCTCTGCGTGGCGTGCATCTCGAGCACGAACCGCCGCAGAGAGCAATCCGACAACGGCAGCTTGGACGCGTACGACCTGGCCAGTCCATGCTGCGACCCCAACTGCGTCCCTAGCCGGCGCCGCCGGGAGAAACAGAGACGGGCTCGAACCGAGCAGAATCATCATCAGCAACAGCAACTGCAACAACAACAACAACAACAACAACAGCAACATCATCACGTACAACGAGAACAGCCGCAACAGGCGCAACAGCCTCAACAACACGGTACGCACAATTGCTCGCGCACGTCCGGTCACAGTCTGCACTCCATCACAAGTAGCGACGTGTCGACCATCGCCGACAGCGTTGCCTCCTGCACAACAAGTCTAAGCACGGATACTCTGTACTGGGATCCGACCAACGTTCATCAACGACCACCGCCGTGCCTTCAGTACGCCAAGCCGAAGTCCTGGGACAATCTGACTACAAAGGCGTTCGGTGGTTACGGATTCGGATACGGATACTTGGACACGGCTACCATAAAGACGCACAGCGCCGAGAGGCCCGGTAAAGGCTCCCATGGGCGAGCGAAAACCCCGACTGGCACCGTTCAAAGAAGAACGAGCACCAGCACCACCTACTCCGGGAGCTCCGGCAGGCATTTCCAACCGACGAAGTCTACCGAGAGCTTGTTGATACCGCCACCTTATCAGGCCGAGTTGGACGCCAGCCTAAGTTGCGAGTGTCTGGATGGACCCACTCCTCGGTGCGTGCCGGTCGTGCAAATAGAGAAACATAACCGGCAAGAGGACGCCGGGTACATCATCAGCACGCACGCTCAAGTTAGACACCGGCGGTCTAGTCATTCCGATGGGAAGCTGAGGGCTCTAAACAACTCAGAAGTAACTAGATTGTAAACGCTCCTTGCTGATCGATTGGAAGCGGACACCGTACATACCCCATTGAAATGTTTCGTATGTTTATTGTATCGGATACCGGACAACAACGGTCCGAATCGCCGGATCTGTTCTCGTTCGAATTTTTGTAATCAGCTTTTTATCGATGGAAACCTGTTGGTATAACGTGTAGGGGAGTATTTAGCATTTTATTCGCCGAACGATTCCGGAACGGACCAGATTTTTTGAAGGGATTTTTAAGGGTACTCACGTGTACACGATTCTTTTGCGCATTTCGTTGATAGAGGTGTCGTCTGACCAAATAATTTTCTAATCGTTTTTTCCGGACGACTGACACGGCACATCGATGCTGGCACCGTTTTGAAAAGAATCCTTTTTCCAAGTTTTTTATCGTTGGTTGATCGTGCGACCGGTCGTGGACAGTTTTAAACTGTGGTAAATATTAAACAAGTAATATCGTCGTTATCGTATAAAAATGAATAGATTATCAAAGTATATTATTTCGAAAATAAAAGTGATATAATCATCCTGTAATTCCTCATTGCGGCGAAGTAGAGATGCCGGAAATAAACGAGAGTTTTTACGAACGTCGACGGTTTATCGTTTTTATTTTGTACGTTTGAATTTTGAGGTTGGTGGAAATCGTGCGTAACGTATAGTGGAGAATAGAAATTTCCTATAGTGTTTTTTTATTTACGTTGGCCAATCGCTTGCATTATAACTAGCGAGTTTTACTAGATAGTTCTCGCTTCTCAATCTATCTAGCGCATATGTTCATGGCCATGCGCGCGGTTATTGTTTTGTAGCTCGCGAGAGATAGGTTATATTTTGATGTCTAAGTTTTGAAGATATCGAATGAAAAAAGAAGAAACATGTCCAGGAAAAAGCATAACGTTTCGTATATTAAACCGGACGAACCAAAATTTTTACGGGAATTGAAGGAACAAGTCGGATACAAAGAAGGACCCACAATTGATACAAAGGTACAAAATATTGTTTTGCGTTACTATCGATTAGATATTAACAATTGCGTGCGTAGAAATGTAATGTAAGTAACAATATTTCAAATATAAACAGCTGAAGCCACTGTTATTACATCAGAATTTTTATATTATTTGTCACAAGTTTGTTCTTATAGTTACCTTTATTTTTCAATATCCTTTATTAAAGTAATTAAGTAGCATTTAATTAGGAATTGTTTATAATTAGCATAAACAGCCATTTAAATGACTCCTTGAAACAGAGAGAAATATTACCACAAGATTCTGATGATGAGAGAGAAGAACCCATAGAAGAACAACCTATTGTAGTTGTATTGAATTCTGGTGATCTAACTGCAGAAGAAGCAGACGCTTTCATAAAAAAGAAGGAAGAAGGTATGGACGAATTTTCCTTTAATGACTGTGCAGACAATGATACCTTTAATTACAGAAGAAGCTAATACACCAGCAGACTTATCTAAACGAGTTATATTCAAGAAGAACAAAAAGGATACAGCAGAGTCTGATGCTGCAGATAAGCCAGCAAAGAAGAAGATTAAAAAATCCAAACAAGAAAAAGCTGTATTATCTTTTAATGATAACGATGATAATTACTTATAGCATGACATGTGTATTTTTAATATTTTAAGTTATTAAGCAAATTAAGGTCAAACATAATACATGTATTTAATAAGTATAAAAAAATAGCTATGTGAAGCATATAAATTTTTATAACTGTATAATTATTTGTATATGTACGACGTGGTAGAATTATGCTGTACAAAATGGAATTAATGTGAGGATACTGAGTATGGAATTTCCTTACATTTGAATGTAAATAATATTCATGTATGTACATAAATTACGAATTTTGCTACTATAACAATAAAAACGTTGCATATAGAGTATTATATGAATGTTTAAACGATTTAATT